TCATTCTTTCAAACATTTCACTAAACCTGAGAAATAAAATATTCTTTCAAACATTTCACTAAACCTGAGAAACAAAATATCATTCTTTCAAACATTTCACTAAACCGGAGAAACAAAATATCATTCTTTCAAACATTTCACTAAACCTGAGAAATAAAATATTGTTTCAAACATTTCACTAAACCTGAGAAACAAAATATCATTCTTTCAAACATTTTACTAAACCGGAGAAACAAAATATCATTCTTTCAAACATTTCACTAAACCTGAGAGAAACAAAATACTCGTGACAAAATATTGAATGATAGGATAGTTTTCAAACTTGTATTTCAAATATTTAAATTTAAAGACTTGACCTAACAGATGATTTTAGATAATGATGTTCAATAATAGACTTCCATAAAATAAGTGTGTTGGGTTGTTAGTAGTATAGTAATCTCAACTAATTTTATGGTTAGAAATTAGGGTTAGGCGTATGGTAGAACTATGGTTAGGGATAGGGTTAGCATTGACCTTAATTAGAAAGCCTTGTGTTTTTTTTTTAATTAACCACCGGTAACCTAACACCCCTATTTTAAGAAGCTTCTATAATTATAATCGAGCACGGGTAAAAAAAATTCCCAGAACTAACTCTTGGGTTAGTTAAATTAATTTTTTCTGCTTGATTCTTTTTTTTAAAACATGCCACACATGAGCATTTATCATGTTTTGTCTACTACTCCTATTACAGCTGAAGGTTTCATTTTGTTAAATATAACATTTGTACACATTATTTTGTACAGTACAGTTTTATTGTACACACTACACACATGTCAACATGTGTAGGCTTACCTTTACACATCTAAACATTTATAATATTTTATTAATTTTTTTATGTGAATATGTGTACACATACGTTCTTAAGTTAATTGTGCGCATACATCTCATGGTGTTAGCACAGTTAGCTGATACACAACACAGAATGAAGACCTCTAGCCTGCTGCCTTGCCTTAGTTAGAATCTAGAATCTAGATCTAGGGTTCATTGGATTCCTTCTGAATGTTGTTAGCTAATCACCACAGACACAGATTGAAGGCCTCTAGCTTTAGAATCTAGAACTAGTGTTCATTTGATTCACCTTTGGTTGCCGTATAGATGAGAAGTGATCACTTAAATTATTAATTTCTGTTCACTTTTGTTTACCAATCAACAAGGGCAGCTACTGTACTTAAGTTAGAGTACATGACTGACATAGTTAGTTCCCTTTTATTCTTTTACTCGCTAGGGGCCTACACTGTATTTACCTGGCTGTTGTGTGACACTTATGGCTGTTGCGCTGCAGGGGCGGAACTACAGTGCCGCCACACCCCGCAATGCAGGTGGGGGGGGGGAGCACGCCATTTAAAAAATAAAACAAACGGTTAATACATTAATAGGAGATAGTTAAATCAAATACTTCGACGTGATTATTTCAAAAACAAATCCATCATTGAACACGAGAAACGGGAAACAACTCCGCTGTCCTGCTCTCCCCTGAATATTACTGGTTTTTGCCCTTTGTTTAGGCTTTGGGTGACTGAAGCAAAATCAGATGATAGAAAAATAATAAATTCCGGAATAGAAACTAATTTGATGGAAGAAGCTCCGTAACTTTAGACTGTTTGTCTAGTTTCACTCGCTAAGGGGAAGTTTTTTTTTTCATGGGGAACTACTGATATTTTTGGGACCTTTGGTAAAAAATATTGCTTGTAATTTTAACATTATTTTCCCAAACCATCCATAGAAAAATTAAATTTACTATTGTTTGTGAGAGCTAATTTGAGGGTCGCTAAAATTCCTTTATCTGCCACTGTTCATAGTACATACGCTCGTTTAGTTGTTATGACTTTCAATACTTTCATTAGCTGTCTAGGTTTAGCTTGCTGTTAATAAGATCTAGATCTGATTTATTGTACCATAATAAATAGAACCAGAACGAGTAGATTTACCATCACTGTGCTCTCATTTGTCTTGTGAAAATGGACCTGTATTTTCCCCACACTAAGCACTCTCAATTTTATTCACTAGATCTTCGTAATCAATCACTCTATAATCTACTCAACACTTAGATCCAGATCTAGATCTAGATCTAGTTCAAGATCTTGTTTATAATGTACGTACTTACTCGTAACTCTAGTCTAGAATCTAGACTAGAGTTATAATAATATAATATAATATAGGCCCTAAAGGCTAATAATAATATATTTATAATTTATAAGTCATAAGACTCATAAGTAGATCTAGATCTAGCTAGATTCTCTAGAATCTAGACTAGAGAATCTAATATCTAGATCTAGTAGCTCTAGATCTAGAGCTAGTAAAGTCAGTAAAGTCTCGACTCCAGTAAATTAAATGTAATCATGCAGTAATAAGTAAACTTAGTAAACTCAGTCAGTAAACACTAACACTCACTAAACAGTAAACACTAAATTATTTAGAATCTAGTAATATTTACTTGTAATTTAGATTAGTATTTAGTCTAGATTTCTAGCTACTGTAGCTAGTCATCTAATGAATTCTAAAATGTTATGTTCACGTTATGATCTCTATTCTAGACTAGGACTATACCAAGCTGCTAGATTTATGCGGTCAAGCAGGGTACCGGATGGTGAGGTACGAGTTTACACTGCGTTCAGTCAGTGGGATGGAAGATCAGTCTGGTGGCAGTATTGTGGCAGTATTGAGGCAGTATTGTGGCAGTATTGAGGCAGTATTGTGGCAGTATTGTGGCATTATTGAGGCAGTATTGTGGCAGTATTGTGGCAGTATTGTGGCAGTATTGTGGCAGTATTGGGGCAGTATTGAGGCAGTATTGTGGCAGTATTGATGCAGTATTGTGGCAGTATTGAGGCAGTATTGTGGCAGTATTGTGGCAGTATTGAGGCAGTATTGTGGCAGTATTGTGGCAGTATTGAGGCAGTATTGAGGCAGTATTGTGGCAGTTTTGGGGCAGTATTGAGGCAGTATTGTGGCAGTATTGAGGCAGTATTGAGGCAGTATTGTGGCAGTATTGAGGCAGTATTGAGGCAGTATTGTGGCAGTATTGTGGCAGTATTGAGGCAGTATTGTGGCAGTATTGAGGCAGTATTGTGGCAGTATTGTGGCAGTATTGTGGCAGTATTGAGGCAGTATTGAGGCAGTATTGTGGCAGTATTGTGGCAGTATTGAGGCAATATTGAGGCAGTATTGTGGCAGTATTGAGGCAGTATTGTGGCAGTATTGTGGCAGTATTGAGGCAGTATTGTGGCAGTATTGTGGCAGTATTGAGGCAGTATTGTGGCAGTATTGTGGCAGTATTGTGGCAGTATTGAGGCAGTATTGTGGCAGTATTGTGGCAGTATTGAGGCAATATTGTGGCAGTATTGTGGCAGTATTGTGGCAGTATTGAGGCAGTATTGTGGCAGTATTGTGGCAGTATTGAGGCAGTATTGTGGCAGTATTGTGGCAGTATTGTGGCAGTATTGAGGCAGTATTGTGGCAGTATTGGGGCAGTATTGAGGCAGTATTGTGGCAGTATTGATGCAGTATTGTGGCAGTATTGAGGCAGTATTGTGGCAGTATTGTGGCAGTATTGAGGCAGTATTGTGGCAGTATTGTGGCAGTATTGAGGCAGTATTGAGGCAGTATTGTGGCAGTTTTGGGGCAGTATTGAGGCAGTATTGTGGCAGTATTGAGGCAGTATTGAGGCAGTATTGTGGCAGTATTGAGGCAGTATTGAGGCAGTATTGTGGCAGTATTGTGGCAGTATTGAGGCAGTATTGTGGCAGTATTGTGGCAGTATTGTGGCAGTATTGAGGCAGTATTGAGGCAGTATTGTGGCAGTATTGTGGCAGTATTGAGGCAATATTGAGGCAGTATTGTGGCAGTATTGAGGCAGTATTGTGGCAGTATTGTGGCAGTATTGAGGCAGTATTGTGGCAGTATTGTGGCAGTATTGAGGCAGTATTGTGGCAGTATTGTGGCAGTATTGTGGCAGTATTGAGGCAGTATTGTGGCAGTATTGTGGCAGTATTGAGGCAATATTGTGGCAGTATTGTGGCAGTATTGTGGCAGTATTGAGGCAGTATTGTGGCAGATATCAAGTTATCTTTGGGACAAAGTAGGTAAAGCTGTGTCTTCAGCAAAGGGGAGTAATAACATAATTCCTTTAATGCATTGCATATAAACTATGGTTAGAGCTAACTAGGGCTGGGTTAATGCATTACATCTAAACTATGGTTAGAGCTAGCTAGGGCTGGGTTAATGCATTACATCTAAACTATGGTTAGAGCTAGCTAGGGCTGGGTTAATGCATTACATCTAAACTATGGTTAGAGCTAGCTAGGGCTGGGTTAATGCATTACATCTAAACTATGGTTAGAGCTAACTAGGGCTGGGTTAATGCATTACATCTAAACTATGGTTAGAGCTAGTTAGGGTTGGGTTAATGCATTACATCTAAACTATGGTTAGAGCTAGCTAGGGCTGGGTTAATGCATTACATCTAAACTATGGTTAGAGCTTGCTAGGGCTGGGTTAATGCATTACATCTAAACTATGGTTAGAGCTAGCTAGGGCTGGGTTAATACATTACATCTAAACTATGGTTAGAGCTAGCTAGGGCTGGGTTAATGCATTACATCTAAACTCTGGTTAGAGCTTGCTAGGGCTGGGTTAGAAGTAGGATTAGTCTAAGGAAATAATAAGGATTTTTGTCCAAGAAAATATTCAGTTTAAATTTAAGCTTAATTAATGGGCATCTAGTGTAAAATAAACCGGGAGTGATCTCCCCTAAACTTTCTCGAATATTCTTATATAAAATAACAGGGGATGGGAACTCGGGCTATAGACATGATTTTTAATCCATTTTAAATACTTAAAGTTTTAAAAATAGAATAAAATCTCGTAGACAAATTAATTGCACACCAAGTGAACGCGAAATAAAAAAGCGCATAATAGTGCGCAATATTATTAGTACTTTTAAAATTTACATTAGTTTTTTGAGAAATCGGAAGTAGCGTAAATTACTACTTCCAGTCAACGGAAATTACTCAAAATTTAACAGAAGGTAGAGAATTAGATCTTTTACTTACATGTGAAATTTCATTTATCTATCTGAAATAGTACTCAAGTTATAGGCTTTTGAAAAATTCAAAGTAGAAAAAGTACCACTTCCCGTTATCGGAAATCGCTCAAAAGTTGATACGGATCTACGATTTTGATAAAATACTTATATATGAAATTTCATCAACCTAACAGTAACGGTACTCAAGTTATCGTGTTTACACACGGACAGACAGACACACAGACACACACACACACACACACAGACATACGGACAAGATTGCAAAATTATGTTTTTCCGTATCAGTGAGGTGTAAAACGTCGAGATTTGTAAAAATCTCGATTTTTTTTTTGCACGATTACAATACTTTCTCTATACTTCGTATATACGAGAAAGTAAAAATATAAGCACATTATTTATTTCTTAGCCAGCCCATTAACTGAATTAAGTACGATGCTTATTGTGTCTTTCGCTGACAGCATTAAATACACTGCCTAATAAATGACCAAACATTTCTATTATTAGAATTTTTATAATTTTGAATTCAAATAAAAATAATCTGGTCTTGTATTACAGTGTCATTCAGAATGAAGTTACTAGAAAACAGCCAATCAGAATGAAGCTATTTGAAACCAGCCAATCAGAATGAAGCTATTTAAAACCAGCCAATGACAATGAAGCAGCTGGAGCCGAGCCAATCACAGGATGAGACCAGACCAGAGGTCAAGCTTGAGCCACTTTTTAACACGTTTTTCCTACAGGATTTAAAGAAGAAAGTCTGGACATGAAGACTGATGATGTCAAGCAGAGTTCAACAGATGGTATCACAGTGCCACTGCCAGGTGTAACAGTGCCACTGCCAGGTGTCACAGTGTCACTGCCAGGTGTCACAGTGTCACTGCCAGGTGTCACAGTGTCACTGCCAGGTGTCACAGTGCCACCAGCAGATGTCAAAGTGGAACATCCAGCCATAAAACCTGAACATGTGAATGCCACAGAGAACCACACAGTTGGTTTTTGTCTGTTGCCACATGCGGTATCATCACCACACAAAGACGATGGCCACATGTCACCCCACCCCACAAGTACCACCCCCTGGGACTGGCCAGAAGACCCTGGGGCCATGTTTACCTGCGTCTTGTGTAACGCTGCCTTCTTGTTTTTCTCAAGCTTGATGACACACCTGACAGAACACCTGACAGAACACCTGGATGGGGGTGTCTACCACATGGACACACCCCCCACCCCCCACCCCCACACAAGACCCCAGCAGGCTAGCTTGCATAGACTGCTGCTTACAGTTTACAACACTGTCCAACTTTAAACGTCACCTCAAGCGCAAGCACACAGACAAACACACAGACAAGCACACAGACAAGCATGTGCTCAGCCATCCGTGTCCACACTGCCACATGGCATTTTGTTCTAGCTCTGAGCTTAAGGTGCACATCACCAGGCGACACAGCGGAGAAAAGCCATTCCAGTGTAGCCACTGTCCCATGGCATTTAGCCAGAAGGCAGATGTAGTGAGCCACTGTCCCATGGCATTTAGCCAGAAGCCAGATGTAGTCAGCCACTGTCCCATGGCATTTAGCCAGAAGGCAGATGTAGTGTAGCCACTGTCCCATGGCATTTAGCCAGAAGGCAGATGTAGTGTAGCCACTGTCCCATGGCATTTAGCCAGAAGGCAGATGTAGTGTAGCCACTGTCCCATGGCATTTAGCCAGAAGCCAGATGTAGTCAGCCACTGTCCCATGGCATTTAGCCAGAAGGCAGATGTAGTCAGCCACTGTCCCATGGCATTTAGCCAGAAGGCAGATGTAGTCAGCCACTGTCCCATGGCATTTAGCCAGAAGGCAGATGTAGTGAGCCACTGTCCCATGGCATTTAGCCAGAAGGCAGATGTAGTCAGCCACTGTCCCATGGCATTTAGCCAGAAGGCAGATCTAGTGAGCCACTGTCCCATGGCATTTAGCCAGAAGGCAGATGTAGTGAGCCACTGTCCCACGGCATTTAGCCAGAAGGCAGATCTAGCGTAGCCACTGTCCCATGGCATTTAGCCAGAAGGCAGATGTAGTGGGCCACTGTCCCATGGCATTTAGCCAGAAGGCAGATCTAGTGAGCCACTGTCCCATGGCATTTAGCCAGAAGGCAGATGTAGTCAGCCACTGTCCCATGGCATTTAGCGAGAAGGCAGATGTAGTCAGCCACTGTCCCATGGCATTTAGCCAGAAGGCAGATGTAGTGTAGCCACTGTCCCATGGCATTTAGCCAGAAGGCAGATGTAGTGAGCCACTCTCTCATGGCATTTAGCCAGAAGGCAGATGTAGTGAGCCACTGTCCCATGGCATTTAGCCAGAAGGCAGATGTAGTGAGCCACTGTCCCATGGCATTTAGCCAGAAGGCAGATGTAGTGGGCCACTGTCCCATGGCATTTAGCCAGAAGGCAGATCTAGTGAGCCACTGTCCCATGGCATTTAGCCAGAAGGCAGATGTAGTGTAGCCACTGTCCCATGGCATTTAGCCAGAAGGCAGATGTAGTGAGCCACTGTCCCATGGCATTTAGCCAGAAGGCAGATGTAGTCAGCCACTGTCCCATGGCATTTAGCCAGAAGGCAGATGTAGTGAGCCACTGTCCCATGGCATTTAGCCAGAAGACAGATGTAGTGTAGCCAATGTCCCATGGCATTTAGCCAGAAGGCAGATGTAGTGAGCCACTGTCCCATGGCATTTAGCCAGAAGGCAGATGTTCTGAGCCACTGTCCCATGGCATTTAGCCAAAAGGCAGATGTAGTTAGCCACTGTCCCATGGCATTTAGCCAGAAGGCAGATGTAGTGAGCCACTGTCCCATGGCATTTAGCCAGAAGGCAGATGTAGTGAGCCACTGTCCCATGGCATTTAGCCAGAAGGCAGATGTAGTCAGCCACTGTCCCATGGCATTTAGCCAGAAGCCAGATCTAGTGAGCCACTGTCCCATGGCATTTAGCCAGAAGGCAGATGTAGTGTAGCCACTGTCCCATGGCATTTAGCCAGAAGGCAGATGTAGTGAGCCACTGTCCCATGGCATTTAGCCAGAAGGCAGATGTAGTCAGCCACTGTCCCATGGCATTTAGCTAGAAGGCAGATGTAGTGAGCCACTGTCCCATGGCATTTAGCCAGAAGGCAGATGTAGTGTAGCCACTGTCCCATGGCATTTAGCCAGAAGGCAGATGTAGTGGGCCACTGTCCCATGGCATTTAGCCAGAAGGCAGATGTAGTGTAGCCACTGTCCCATGGCATTTAGCCAGAAGGCAGATGTAGTGTAGCCACTGTCCCATGGCATTTAGCCAGAAGGCAGATGTAGTGAGCCACTGTCCCATGGCATTTAGCCAGAAGGCAGATGTAGTGTAGCCACTGTCCCATGGCATTTAGCCAGAAGGCAGATCTAGTGAGCCACTGTCCCATGGCATTTAGCCAGAAGGCAGATGTAGTGAGTCACTGTCCCATGACATTTAGCCAGAAGGCAGATGTAGTGAGTCACTGTCCCATGACATTTAGCCAGAAGGCAGATGTAGTGAGTCACTATAGGAGGAGGCACACAGGAGAGAAACCCTACAGTTGTCAGGTGTGTGATGCAGATTTTGTCAGCAGCTCCGACCTCAGGGGACACGAGCGGAGGAAGCAGGTGAGCGGCCACACAGGTGAGCGGCCACACAGGTGAGCGGCCACACAGGTGCCAGACCTGTGACCTGACCTTTTTTGACAGTTCGGATTTAAAACGCCATGAGAGGACCAAACATACGGGGGAGAGGCCATACAAGTGTGACCTTTGCACTTTGGCATTTGTCAGCAGTTCAGAGTTGAAGAGTCACCAAAAGAGAAAACATGCGGGGGTCAAACCATTCATGTGCGCCACCTGTGGGGTCAAACCGTTCACGTGCGCCACCTGTGGGGTCAAACCGTTCAGTGCGCCACCTGTGGGGTCAAGTTCACCACTGGAGCCAGCACGAGGGAACATGAGAGGCGGCGCCACGCAGGTGAGAGGCCGTACAGGTGAGAGGCCGTACAGGTGAGAGGCCGTACAGGTGAGATGCCGTACAGGTGTGATGTGTGTGGCCACACAGGTGAGAGGCCGTACAGGTGTGAGGCCGTACAGTTGTACGTGTGTGGCCACACAGGTGAGAGGCCGTACAGGTGTGACGTGTGTGGCCACACAGGTGAGAGGCCGTACAGGTGTGATGTGTGTGACCACAGGTGAGAGGCCGTACAGGTGAGAGGCCGTACAGGTGTGATGTGTGTGGTCTGGAGTTCTATGACAGTTCCAGCCTGAAGGTGCACGCCAGGCAACACACAGGTGAGAAACCCTACGAGTGCCAGGTGTGCAGCCTGCTGTTTGCCTGCAGTGCGCATCTCAGGTCCCACCACAGGAAGTCACACAACGTCGACCGGCCGTTTAAGTGTGACCTTTGCCCTAAAGCTTTCTTCATCCAGTCCAGCCTGGCTGCACACAAGCGCAGGCACGCAGGCGACAAGCCACATAGGCACGCAGGCGACAAGCCCCACAGGCACGCAGGCGACAAGCCCCACAGGCACGCAGGCGACAAGCCCCACAGGCACGCAGGCGACAAGCCCCATAGGTGCGCCTACTTCAACATGGCCTTCAACTCCAACTCTGACATGAAAAGCCATGAACGCAGGCGGCACACGGCAGAGAAGCCGTTCCAGTGCAAGTTTTGTAGCCAGGTTTTTGTGGACCGGCAGGAGCTCCGGCTCCATGAGCAGAAACACACAGGGGTCAGGCCGTACAAGTGTGACCTTTGCCCTGAGACCTTCCCTGTCAGCTACGACCTCAAGTCTCACCTATGTAAAGTCCATGGGAAGGAAAAGCCATTTAAATGTCAGCTTTGTCCTATGGCTTTTATCTGTAAATCCCATCTAAAAGTCCACCAAAGAAAACACACAGGAGAAAAACCATACCACTGTGGCATTTGTTCCCAGGGATTTACCAACAGCCATGACATGAAAAGCCATCAGCGCGGGATGCACACAGGGGAAAAGCCATTCCAGTGTGGGGTGTGTGTGGGGTGTGTGGTGTGGGCTACGTCAGCAACTCCAAGCTGAAGGTGCACGTGAGGCTCCACTCCGGGGAGAGGCCGTACCTGTGCCCCACCTGTGGGGAGACCTTCAGCGCCACCCACCTGCTCAAGAAGCACCAGAGGACAAGCCACGCCCCTGAGAAAGGCCAAAAGTGCCAACAGTGCAGCAGCGCCTTCTACCTGCCCTCTCACCTGAAGAAACACGTGCGGACACACACAGGTGAGAAGCCATTCACCTGCAGCTATTGCCACAAGGCTTTCTACAGCAGCTACGAGCTGACCATCCATCAGAGGAGGCAACACATGGGGGAGAAGCCCGTCAGCTGTCAGTTTTGTGGGGAGGTCTTTGTGGACAGGTCCAGGCTCAAGGTACACACACGGGGGAGAAGCCGTGTGTGTGTGGGATGTGTGGGGAGGCCTTTGTGGACAGGTCCAGGCTCAAGGTCCACACACGGACACACACGGGGGAGAAGCCGTGTGTGTGTGGGATGTGTGGGGAGGCCTTTGTGGACAGGTCCAGGCTCAAGGTCCACACACGGACACACACGGGGGAGAAGCCGTGTGTGTGTGGGGAGGCCTTTGTGGACAGGTCCAGGCTCAAGGTCCACACACGGGGGAGAAGCCGTGTGTGTGTGGGGTGTGTGGGGAGGTCTTTGTGGACAGGTCCAGGCTCAAGGTCCACACACGGGGGAGAAGCCGTGTGTGTGTGGGGTGTGTGGGGAGGCCTTTGTGGACAGGTCCAGGCTCAAGGTCCACACACGGACACACACGGGGGAGAAGCCGTGTGTGTGTGGGGAGGCCTTTGTGGACAGGTCCAGGCTCAAGGTCCACACACGGGGGAGAAGCCGTGTGTGTGTGGGGTGTGTGGGGAGGCCTTTGTGGACAGGTCCAGGCTCAAGGTCCACACACGGACACACACGGGGGAGAAGCCGTGTGTGTGTGGGGAGGCCTTTGTGGACAGGTCCAGGCTCAAGGTCCACACACGGGGGAGAAGCCGTGTGTGTGTGGGGTGTGTGGGGAGGCCTTTGTGGACAGGTCCAGGCTCAAGGTCCACACACGGACACACACGGGGGAGAAGCCGTGGGGTGTGTGGGGAGGCCTTTGATGTGGGCTACAAGCTCAGCTACCACAAGAAAACACAACACAAGGAGGAGAAAGGTGGACCTTTGAACTCCAGACACAGTTGACCTCTGAACTGTAGGCGCAGTTGACCTAAGCTCTGGACAGTTGATCTCACAGCATGCATATTGTGACCATCTAGTTGTAGGGTGCCCAGAGCATGCATATTGTGACCATCTAGTTGTGCCCAGAGCATGCATATTGTGACCATCTAGTTGTGCCCAGAGCATGCATATTGTGACCATCTAGTTATGCCCAGAGCATGCATATTGTGACCATCTAGTTGTAGGGTGCCCAGAGCATGCATATTGTGACCATCTAGTTGTGCCCAGAGCATGCATATTGTGACCATCTAGTTGTAGGGTGCCCAGAGCATGCATATTGTGACCATCTAGTTGTAGGGTGCCCAGAGCATGCATATTGTGACCATCTAGTTGTAGGGTGCCCAGAGCATGCATATTGTGACCATCTAGTTGTAGGGTGCCCAGAGCATGCATATTGTGACCATCTAGTTGTAGAGTGCCCAGAGCATGCATATTGTGACCATCTAGTTGTAAAGTGCCCAGAGCATGCATATTGTGACCATCTAGTTGTGCCCAGAGCATGCATGTTGTGACCATCTAGTTGTAGGGTGCCCAGAGCATGCATATTGTGACCATCTAGTTGTGCCCAGAGCATGCATATTGTGACCATCTAGTTGTAGGGTGCCCAGAGCATGCATATTGTGACCATCTAGTTGTAGGGTGCCCAGAGCATGCATATTGTGACCATCTAGTTGTAGGGTGCCCAGAGCATGCATATTGTGACCATCTAGTTGTGCCCAGAGCATGCATATTGTGACCATCTAGTTGTGCCCAGAGCATGCATATTGTGACCATCTAGTTGTAGGGTGCCCACAGCATGCATATTGTGACCATCTAGTTGTAGGGTGCCCAGAGCATGCATATTGTGACCATCTAGTTGTAGGGTGCCCAGAGCATGCATATTGTGACCATCTAGTTGTAGGGTGCCCAGAGCATGCATATTGTGACCATCTAGTTGTAGGGTGCCCAGAGCATGCATATTGTGACCATCAAGTTGTGCCCAGAGCATACATATTGTGACCATCTAGTTGTAGGGTGCCCAGAGCATGCATATTGTGACCATCTAGTTGTAGGGTGCCCAGAGCATGCATATTGTGACCATCTAGTTGTAAGGTGCCCAGAGCATACATATTGTGACCATCTAGTTGTAGGGTGCCCAGAGCATGCATATTGTGACCATCTAGTTGTAGGGTGCCCAGAGCATACATATTGTGACCATCTAGTTGTGCCCAGAGCATACATATTGTGACCATCTAGTTGTAGGGTGCCCAGAGCATGCATATTGTGACCATCTAGTTGTAGGGTGCCCAGAGCATGCATATTGTGACCATCTAGTTGTGCCCAGAGCATGCATATTGTGACCATCTAGTTGTAGGGTGCCCAGAGCATGCATATTGTGACCATCTAGTTGTAGGGTGCCCAGAGCATGCATATTGTGACCATCTAGTTGTAGGGTGCCCATAGCATGCATATTGTGACCATCTAGTTGTAGGGTGCCCACAGCATGCATATTGTGACCATCTAGTTGTAGGGTGCCCAGAGCATGCATATTGTGACCATCTAGTTGTAGGGTGCCCATAGCATGCATATTGTGACCATCTAGTTGTAGGGTGCCCACAGCATGCATATTGTGACCATCTAGTTGTAGGGTGCCCAGAGCATGCATATTGTGACCATCTAGTTGTAGGGTGCCCAGAGCATGCATATTGTGACCATCTAGTTGTAGGGTGCCCACAGCATGCATATTGTGCCCATCTAGTTGTAGGGTGCCCAGAGCATGCATATTGTGACCATCTAGTTGTGCCCAGAGCATGCATATTGTGACCATCTAGTTGTGCCCAGAGCATGCATATTGTGACCATCTAGTTGTGCCCAGAGCATGCATATTGTGACCATCTAGTTGTAGGGTGCCCAGAGCATGCATATTGTGACCATCTAGTTGTGCCCAGAGCATGCATATTGTGACCATCTAGTTGTAGGGTGCCCAGAGCATGCATATTGTGACCATCTAGTTGTGCCCAGAGCATGCATATTGTGACCATCTAGTTGTGCCCAGAGCATACATATTGTGACCATCTAGTTGTGCCCAGAGCATGCATATTGTGACCATCTAGTTGTGCCCAGAGCATGCATATTGTGACCATCTAGTTGTGCCCAGAGCATGCATATTGTGACCATCTAGTTGTGCCCAGAGCATGCATATTGTGACCATCTAGTTGTAGGGTGCCCATAGCATGCATATTGTGACCATCTAGTTGTAGGGTGCCCAGAGCATGCATATTGTGACCATCTAGTTGTGCCCAGAGCATGCATATTGTGACCATCTAGTTGTGCCCAGAGCATACATATTGTGACCATCTAGTTGTAGGGTGCCCAGAGCATGCATATTGTGACCATCTAGTTGTGCCCAGAGCATGCATATTGTGACCATCTAGTTGTAGGGTGCCCAGAGCATGCATATTGTGACCATCTAGTTGTGCCCAGAGCATGCATATTGTGACCATCTAGTTGTAGGGTGCCCAGAGCATGCATATTGTGACCATCTAGTTGTAGGGTGCCCAGAGCATGCATATTGTGACCATCTAGTTGTAGGGTGCCCAGAGCATGCATGTTGTGACCATCTAGTTGTAGGGTGCCCAGAGCATGCATATTGTGACCATCTAGTTGTAAGGTGCCCATAGCATGCATATTGTGACCATCTAGTTGTGCCCAGAGCATGCATATTGTGACCATCTAGTTGTAGGGTGCCCAGAGCATGGATATTGTGACCATCTAGTTGTGCCCAGAGCATGCATATTGTGACCATCTAGTTGTAGGGTGCCCAGAGCATGCATATTGTGACCATCTAGTTGTGCCCACAGCATGCATATTGTGACCATCTAGTTGTAGGGTGCCCAGAGCATGCATATTGTGACCATCTAGTTGTGCCCAGAGCATGCATATTGTGACCATCTAGTTGTAGGGTGCCCAGAGCATGCATATTGTGACCATCTAGTTGTAGGGTGCCCAGAGCATGCATATTGTGACCATCTAGTTGTGCCCAGAGCATGCATATTGTGACCATCTAGTTGTGCCCAGAGCATGCATATTGTGACCATCTAGTTGTAGGGTGCCCACAGCATGCATATTGTGACCATCTAGTTGTAGGGTGCCCCGAGCATGCATATTGTGACCATCTAGTTGTAGGGTGCCCAGAGCATGCATATTGTGACCATCTAGTTGTAGGGTGCCCAGAGCATGCATATTGTGACCATCTAGTTGTAGGGTGCCCAGAGCATGCATATTGTGACCATCTAGTTGTAGGGTGCCCACAGCATGCATATTGTGACCATCTAGTTGTAGGGTGCCCAGAGCATGCATATTGTGACCATCTAGTTGTAGGGTGCCCAGAGCATGCATATTGTGACCATCTAGTTATGCCCAGAGCATGCATATTGTGACCATCTAGTTGTAGGGTGCCCAGAGCATACATATTGTGACCATCTAGTTGTAGGGTGCCCAGAGCATGCATATTGTGACCATCTAGTTGTGACCAGAGCATGCATATTGTGACCATCTAGTTGTAGGGTGCCCAGAGCATGCGTATTGTGACCATCTAGTTGTGCCCAGAGCATGCATATTGTGACCATCTAGTTATGCCCAGAGCATGCATATTGTGACCATCTAGTTGTGCCCACAGCATGCATATTGTGACCATCTAGTTGTGCCCAGAGCATGCATATTGTGACCATCTAGTTGTAGGGTGCCCAGAGCATGCATATTGTGACCATCTAGTTGTAGGGTGCCCAGAGCATGCATATTGTGACCATCTAGTTGTGCCCAGAGCATGCATATTGTGACCATCTAGTTGTGCCCAGAGCATGCATATTGTGACCATCTAGTTGTAGGGTGCCCACAGCATGCATATTGTGACCATCTAGTTGTAGGGTGCCCCGAGCATGCATATTGTGACCATCTAGTTGTAGGGTGCCCAGAGCATGCATATTGTGACCATCTAGTTGTAGGGTGCCCAGAGCATGCATATTGTGACCATCTAGTTGTAGGGTGCCCAGAGCATGCATATTGTGACCATCTAGTTGTAGGGTGCCCACAGCATGCATATTGTGACCATCTAGTTGTAGGGTGCCCAGAGCATGCATATTGTGACCATCTAGTTGTAGGGTGCCC